CTGCTGTGGGGCGCACGGCGAACCGTCAGAAACGACGGTCGAACTGTCATACCAACTAGGGGGAAACCCCTTTTCCGTAGAGTTTAATTAAAGTGGAAGGGACTAGCTGTGACAATCGAAGTACCATAGTCCTCCAGAAGAAAAATTACAAGACTGAAGGTGATAACAGCATGAGGAGTGGGGATTCGGATGAGTGGGAAAAAAGCGAATAAACAACCTCTTTGAGGTCCTCCACGATCTCCGGCTTCTGCCACCAGGCCGCTGTCATTAAGGAGGAGGACAGGTCAGACGTCGATTTTTTGTCCCCGACATCTACTGCTGAGGTAGAGGCAGGTAGTTTAGAGTCTCCTGTATTACTGGCGCGCAGGGTTGGCAGCAGTTGTTGGATGCGAGCCCGCAGACCCCGGGGAGAGGTGAGCTCCGTCCATATATGTTCCAAAGCACTGCGAAGAGCCTCCTCATCAGCACTTATGGCAAAACCGGCACGCCGTGCTACCGTCTGTTTAGCCAGAAGCTAAGGACAATGACAAACGGTACAGATCAGTAGGCATTCAGATGCAATGGCGCTTACTTTCAAACAAACTAAAGAAGACAAAAGTGTAGTGCAAAGTCGCTTTCATAGCCGTGAAATGAATCAAAGTGATGCCAAGCGGAACAACAACAGGCGTTTGCCGGGTTAAAATGTGGTTGGGTGAGGTTTACGCCTATAGCGTCTAATTAATGGTTGCGTTCTCGACAAGGGTTATTCGATGACTGTTGACTTCCGGGGTTCAATCGTAACATAATATTTAGTTGCATGATAAGACGAGAGTGACTGGGTTGCCTGTCACAATGATGGGCCAGGAAGCATTCGAGTAATGTATAGCCAAAGAACTACGAGCAAGAAAAGCAAGGAATTGGGAAAGCTAGTCTGCTGAGACAAGGCTAACCTTGAGAACGCGATGATTCAATTCAATTTGCTTTCGTTTGAGTTGGGAGATTTTTTGTGAAATTGACAAGTGGTGTGTGTGTAGATCGCCAGCAACCTTCAGAAGATGCTGAAATAGAGAAAGAAAAATAGGAAACGCAGCGCGGTTGGGAAACTTGAACGGCCATACGCACTTATTGAAAAACGGAATTTTTTTTTTAAATGCTATGGGTCACGAAATTACAAAATTAGGCTCTGAATAAGCGGCGATTAAGAACAACCGAGTAGTAAAGTACTCTTGACTGTAGTAATCTTATGAGATCTGTCGATTCCAGGAACTGCAGTACAACTCTTCGGCTAGGACTATTAAGGTTAATGAATTTTCTAAACAGAAACAATACATATGGTGGAGTATAAACGAAAACTTGTGAACTATTCATTTAAATATTTTAGGATAATTTCATCTAAAAGCAAAACGTAAGTCAACACAGTCTTACTCTGATCCATACACAGTAGCATGCTGATTTATAGGCGAACCTGCAAATCAAAATCTGAAACTAAATCTGCGCATATGTAGCGCGGGCTACTTCCTAGTTAAGTTTCGAGGTAAATTCACGCATGTTTCCAACAGATTATGAGTAAAAATCCAATTCCTATTGGCTGCTTAGTGAAAACTCCTGCCTCTAATTTTTCAATCAAAGAATGCAGACATTCCATCTCAATAAAGCATGCCAATTCGTATATTTTGAGAGACAACCTTCGTCTCAACGCTGTCCTGCTGTTGTCCTGTGGTTTTTAATGGCCCAGTAGGGAGGCCTTCTAGTGCATATGAAACAGGGTTGCAGTACCTGGCCTAACTCATCATAGCTTAAATGGATTTAGGAGATGATTTCTCGATTAGAAATGATTATAAAGGTGGCGCTGCAATACTGACTATCGTGCGGAGTACTCCAAGTATATTTCATTCGCGAGTAAGTTTCGATTTTCGAAAGAGCTTCCTTCGCCCAATCGGCGAACGCCTTTCCCACAATAACATTTATTCATAGTGAATGGATCACTTACGAGGCACACTCGTCAAGTTGTGCCTTGGCGCTCGCCCTCGAGCTCCATCAGCAGTCGTTCATTGGCTAGTATATTATAGGCACAAAGAAATTACTGACAGAGACTAGGGAGATCGGAACACCCATTTCTGCCTCATTAGCTTTAATCAGCCAGTCACCCCCAATTTGAGGTGTTGGTCATTCAAGATTCGAACTGAGTCACGGGCCACTTGTTTTGTCGGTTGAGATTGAGAATGTGATGATAGTGTGGAGTCCACTGATATGGTTGCTGGATATGTATGCGCTATGGTGCCTTAGAGACTACTGCAGAGCCCTCACATATAGACGCGTAGCGACTTGGCTATAGATGATGATAAAGAGGAACCGACAAAGACAAAGTAGACCAGAATGGCAATTTCTGACTTATTAGCCGTCATCAGTCAAGCATACCGAACACTCGCCGATCGTCGCCCGTCATACCTTAAACCCCGCCAACAGCCACAAGACGGCCAGTTTTATAGGCAGATGAACACTGCCGACGAAGACAAGGGAGACTGGAATGGCCATTTCTGGCTTAATAGCCGTCAGTAGTTAGCCATAACCAACTCCAAGTTTTGCAACTCCCGAGGCTAGACTTAATCCTCTAATTTCTGAAATAAAAGCTCGATGGAGCTCGGGCAGTAAACACATGCCTAAGGAGAATATGTAGTAGAAATAACATGGTATCACTATCGTGAGATTGAAATTCGTGACATCGACGAACTGCAATACAGTAGTCGCTGGTTATTAAGCCCACGATTAATAGGCCCAGCCGCGTATTAAGCCCAAATCAG